TTATCTATATCTTTGCAGCTCTTAGTTACAGGAGGCTTCAGCAGATGCTAGAACAGAAGCCATGTGGAAATACATAGGGAAAAAACCACTAATATGCTGATCAGGAAAGCCAAAGGCTATGCTTGCAAATATATGTCAATCAGATCCAAATGCCCATAAAAAAACTCAAAAATACATAATTTATTCACAAGAAATCTTAATAACAATTTTCATAAGAAGAAAATGCAAAGAGACAACTCTTGTTCAATTCAGGAACGGATCACACTATCTCTTCTCAAACACCAGACTCTACTTGCCATGACCAAGACCCCAAAGCAACATCAGATACCTGTATTAGGTTTCACTGCAAAATACTACCAGTGCATACAATTAACTCGAGGTGGTATAGAATATAGATGGTAAAGTTCTCTCATTTCCGGAAGAAGAAGAAAAATGAAAGGTAAAAGAAAAAAGTACGTACCAAAACAATTAAAGACCCTGATCAATAAGATAATCACCAATCTTTTCAACAACCATGTTGCACTGGCCTGGAGTCATAGGTTCATCATAGATACCAATGATTAAGGCCATAGTGGTCTTTTTGACTGTAACTCCACCAGGTCCCTGCAGAGAACGAAAAATAATCATTACAGGTTGTGAAGACCCTCGTGTTAAATCTTATTTCACTACTTCAATACAAACACACACACACTTTCTGTAGTTGATAGGCTTGGGGGGATGCACGAATATGTATACAAATATAAATAGAAGAAAATGCCCTAGTTGATATACTAAGGACCTGGTACTTATTCTCAATCCTCAGCAACCAGTCTCAAAATCCAATTTGGACAAAACTCATCCGGTCAATTATCCACAGTTATAAACTCGAGCAAAAACAATTAACATATTCACAAGCTATAAGTTGAAGCAAAAGCAGAGACAAAAACAATACCTTTTTCCCTCGGATGACAACCCCTGGCTCACCTTGAATTACCATGTATTTAGTACCACCAAGATACAAGCCAGTAGGAGCAAGTGAACCAGGATTTTCAAAGTCATTCATGATAGCAGTGATTTCCTCAGGCTTGAGCTACGCCAGCATTAATCAAAAAGAGAATAATTTTATTTCACAGATTAACATAGAGAAAAGATATCCCAGCAAAGAAATTTAGTGCATTGCGAAACAGGCTTGTGTTGTATTATTGATGCCATTCTACTTCTATAAAAAAAAAAAAATAATAATAATAAAATAATTGCCATTCTTATCGGTTTCCATCCTTCTTGTGTTAATATATTCTGGTACGTGATGTCCACGATATCATATTATTTGCTTCTGTATCACACTACCTTAAATGGTTTATAAATAAATAAAAATACAAATCAATAAAGTGCTACCATAGTCAAACTAATATCTTTAAAGTACAAAAAAATAAACTAATAAAAAGCTGGATCAACCAAGTAAAAGCTCGTTCTATAAAATAACTGAATTAATCACTAATCAGTATCCGAAATCAGATAAATCCAGTTAAAATTAGGAATAAATTCAGTTAGTCAGGGTCAAAATCAGGAAAAGAGAAGAAGGAGGTGACAGCAAATGATTGGGTGCTTTTTGTTTTAATTTTTTAAACTGTCCAAGCACAAAATTGACACGTGACTGTGATTTTAGCCTTTTTTAACCTGAATGTGTAGCGTAGTTGTAAAAAATTAGTCGTTAATAATAAAAACCAACACATTTATCGAAAAATTAAACAGAAAGCTAGATCAAAATTATAAATGCTCAATCTAAAAACAAAATCAAGGTACAAGGTAAATGTAATAAAATACAAACAAATAACTGACGTAATTGATATCCAAAATCAGATCAGATCACGTCATCAGCATTCTTACAATCAAGAATATAATAAGTGCCCAGAAGATCTGAAAATTGAATTGAAAATAAAAATAAAAATCATACCATAAATAAAAACAGCAAAAAAGAAATGAAAGACCTGAGGGAAGGTGGTGCTCTGAGCCCAGACGGTGCCGTCATGGCCGAGGATAGCGGCGGCGGCGAGGTGATTACCCTCGATCTCCGCCATCAAGTGATCATCTATGTACGATTGCCACGACATCTTTGATTTGATTCTTTAGATTCGAATTTTTGCCTCTTGTACGTAGTTGGAGGTGAGATTTGAGAGTTGGATTAATTTTCTGAAAAGAAAAAGAGGTCCATCAGCTGTTATGCCGGTGCATCTCGATGTGGTCAAATGTCATTTCTGCCCCTTTGATCATTTCTACCCTATCACATTATTACTTTAAGCAAATTATTCAAATTGAAAAATGTTATTTCATTGAAAGATTTGATGAAATAGTAGTATTTAAATTGTTGTAAATGAAGAATCTCAATAACAAATTATTGAGTAATGCTATTTGTCTATACTCATGAACATTGCATAATTCATTAAAAAAAAAAAATTCAATTTTTTTTTGGGCCTTTTTAACTTCATAAACTGACGAAGTTAAGAGGCCTCAACTGATATATTTTTTTTTTAGTGAATAATGTCAAGAGGATTATTGTAAAATAAGTATTATTTGTGCCACGTTTTAATTGCATTACAAGATTTTTAATATTTACTTATTGCCATACTTACATTTTCGTATTTTTTTTTCACCGCATGGTTATCATTTAACATTTTATTAATCAATACATCTTGTCAAATTGATGATGATTTTCGTTCAAAAAATCTATTAAAATGGCATAAAAATGACTTATTTATATATTATGTTTTTAAATGAGCAAAACAAAAATTAATAAAATAAAAAGGTGAGACTAAATTTTTTTCTTATTTTAAAGCACGATAATAGAATTTTTGAACGAAAATTATCACAAAAAACATCATGCGCTAATTAATGAAAAGTTAAGAATAAGTATATGATGAGAAAAAGTGGAGATAAAAGCGTAAATAAGAAGTAAAGATATGAACTTTTAGTACAACTAAAATGTGATGCATTGTAAAAAATAAAAATAAAATAAAATAAAATTATAGGAAGATTATTAATCGAATCTTAATTTTACTGTATATATCAGTCTTGGACTCTTAATTATCAATAATACCCTTAAATTTTGTTTGTCTCAAATTCTTGTCTTGTTCTTTCAATTCTATAACAATTTTGAATTTAAAAGCTCGAGGAGAACTACTACCGGAATACAATTGGAAATGAGGTCATTTCCGAAATTTTATAGGGAAATTTTACCGTTGGAGTTGAGGCCTTTTCTGAAAATTTTACAGATTAGTATCGTTTCTGGTAGTGTATAGACCTGGGCTGATCTTGGGTTATTACCGCGAGCCCAACACAGTGTCCAGTAGTAGAAGTCTAGCATAGACTAAAAAGGCTTCAAGTGGTCTCACTAGTCACTACTGTAGAACTTTCTTTATTAACACTAAGGCCCCTGGACTACCTGAAAGTATAATTACATTTTCAGTACCTGTACAAGACGGCCGCGAGTTTTTGAGAGCTCGTTTGGAAGGACTTTTACTTTTATTTTTACATTTTTGTAAAATGAAAGCTCTTCTACGTGTAAGCTGTTATTGCCATTATATACAGACTAGAGGTTGAATCCATTGTTGGGGGTGGGGCATCGGGCTAGATCGGGACGATTTTTGCACAGACCCAACCCAACTTTGTCGATTTTGGGCAATTTTTGGGCCAACTCGATTGGTTCGGTAATAGAAACCGACCAACCTGAGCTGACTCTGCTCGGGTTGAGTCAACATTTTGTTTCTTTTTTCAATTCTAAAATTATTTCGAATTTCCAAATGAATCCTTTTTGCCAAAAATAAAATCAGAACAAGCGTAATAGTTTTTCTTCTGGTTGATAATAGTTTGTCAGTGTCGTAAATCATGGTGGTGTAAAAAATTTAATCGAAACAAGGTAATATAATTAAATTAAAAATATGAACAACCAAATAACCAAAATAACCATCAAGCATGAATATATTACAGTTATCCAATGGGCTTTGGGGATCCATCATCCCATGTATAGCGTGATTAAGGCTTGGTTGACAATGGCCATATTTCAATAACTATGTAAAACTGATTTCACAGCTTCATCAATCCTTTTTTAATATGATTTAGGCTTGCATGACATTGAAATTAAACAATAAGTTTGAACACAGTCGAATTAAACTTTGAAAACCCGATCTCCATAGACCCCTTCTTAAGACGTTGAGTCTAATGTGAAACGTCAAATATCATCTACGCCTAGGTGTACTAGGTCGACATGCCCATACATCATTTAGATTAAGTTTCCATAGGGTAATATCCATCGAACTGCACTGGTCGATATCTAAAATATGATGAACTGCCGAGTTCATTGATGAGTTTGCAAGAATCCAAAAGCATCGACTATTGCCTCTTGGGTGCTAAATTGCTCGAGTCGCCTACTAAAATTTTAGCATCCTTATCCCGTCCCACACTCTTTGAGGAGTTTGGAAGAATCCAAGACAAGTGATTTAAGCCATGTTGTATTCTTCATTCCACTAAACAATTCCCCTTGCAATGTCTTTAAGGGACCAAATCTGCACAACTGGGAAAGCCCAAAACTCTTCTAGTACTGCTACTTTTAATAGCATACAAAATCTTTCCATAAAGTGAAAGAATTGAGTGTCAACTTTTTAGGTTGAACAGGACATTGCAGGTATTATCTTTTTTTTTTTTTTAGCCCAACACAGTGTCCAGTAGTAGAAGTCTAGCATAGACTAAAAAGGCTTCAAGTGGTCTCACTAGTCATTAGTGTAGAACTTTCTTTATTAACACTAAGGCCCCTGGACTACCTGAAAGTATAATTACATTTTCAGTACCTGTACAAGACGGCCGTGAGTTTTTGAGAGCTCATCAGTTTGAGCCTGATTATCCCTAAACCCAATGTGAGTTCTTCTATTTGGATTTGCTCCCCCGCCGTGATTTTAGCCCTTATAAAAAGAAAACGGATTCTTGAACCCCTTTCACGCTCATGTCACGTCGAGGTTATATAAGGCCGATTACTCTGACTTTCTCCTCCGCTTATAGCATCTCGCGGCCATTGGGAGGATCTTTTTCGGACGTTTTCTAGGAGCAGAAGGAACGCATTCTAGACACAGATCATTGGTATTGGATGTATGGAAGGACTTTTGATTTTATTTTTACATTTTTGTAAAACGAAAGCTCTTCTACACGTAGGGGCATCGGGCCAGATCAAGACGATTTTTCCCCAGATCCAACCCAACTTTGTCGATTTTGGACAATTTTTGGGCCAACTCGATTGGTTCAATAATAGAAACCGACCAACCTGAACTGACTCTGCTCGGGTCGAGTCAACATTTTGTTTCTTTTTTCAGTTTTAAAATTATTTCGAATTTCCAAATGAATCCTTAATTGCCAAAAATAAAATCAGAACAAGCTTAATAGTTTTTCTTCCGGTTGATAATAGTTTGTCATTGTCGTAAATCATGGTGCTGTAAAAATTTTAATCGAAACAAGGTAATATAATTAAATTAAAAATATAAACAACCAAATAACCAAAATAACCATCAAGCATGAATATATTACAGTTATCCAATGGGCTTTGGGGATCCATCATCCCATGTATAGCGTGATTAAGGCTTGGTTGACAATGGCCATATTTCAATAACTATGTAAAACTGATTTCACAGTTTCATCAATCCTTTTTTAATATGATTTAGGCTTGCATGACATTGAAATTAAACATTAAGTTAGTACACAGTCGAATTAAACTTTGAAACCCGATCTCAATAAACTCTTTCTTAAGACGTTGAGTCTAATTTGAAACGTCAAATATCATCTACGCCTAAGTGTACTAGGTGTACATGCCCATACATCATTTAGATTAAGTTTCGATAGGGTAATATATCCATCGAACTGCACTGGTCAATATCTAAAATATGATGAACTGCCGAATTCGTTGATGAGTTTGCAAGAATCCAAAAGCATCGACTATTGCCTCTGGGGTGCTAAATTGCTCGAGTCGCCTATTAAAATTTTAGCATCCTTATCCCGTCCCACACTCTTTGAGGAGTTTGGAAGAATCCAAGAAAAGTGATTTAAGCCATGTTGTATTCTTCATTCCACTAAACAATTCCCCTTGCAATGTCTTTAAGGGACCAAATCTGCACAACTGGGAAAGCCCAAACTCTTCTAGTACTACTCCTTTTAATAGCATACAAAATCTTTCCATAAAGTGAAAGAATTGAGTATCAACTTTTTAGGTTGAACAGGACATTGCAGGTATTATCTTTTTTTTTTTTTCATTTTAAAATATTTATCGAGCATCTGTGTGATTTTGTGCTAGATACCACAACAGTCAACAAAATATTGAAATAATTGACCTTATATATGGATCATCATTATCGTTTGGTTTTCAGTTTCTACTAGGCCTTCCGCAAGTAGAGAGTGTATAATGATATAAATAATATATTAAAATATCTATCGATCCACATAATTTCGTAAGATTTTATTTCTGGTGACATCACTTCAGAGTCTATTTCGACTAGAAATTGAATGGTCGACCAAACTTCAATACCTAAGTTAATGTCTAAATTTAGTTCCCTTCCATCCAGCCTCCTGTCCTGCCCCATCCTAAGATACCATTTGTGACACAACTCGTCCCGAATCACCCTAATGGACTCAAAACGTGGCGTGCGTCGATGATAGATGCTGACTAGATGTCAAATCTACCACCAAGGCTGACTATGAGTTATTTAAAAAAAAATGCAACAAAATCAAATGCTTATGTAAAACATAATGCGATGGGCCCAAATTATTTACTTTGTACTTCATCAAAATGAGTTATAATATTCAACATGTCGTGTGACTCTCATTCCAAAATCATTAGGCTCTTCCAGCTAAAAAGAATCAATTTCCACCTGTAGGAAAATTACGGGAAAATATATGAGTTGATAGCTCAGTGAATGGAGAAGTTCGAAAATAATTATACTTTTTCATTTTTACATTTTTATCAAAAATCGAGTTCATTTCATTGATAACTCGCAAGATAACACCATATAATTATAGCCAAAATGTTAGGCATTCACATTACGTGGTAAAATATCATCTCAAGTCATGATATAAACTGGTAATCATGCTATAATCTCATCACATCAAATGTACTGAAAAATCTACCAAAAACGTACCATCTGACTAAAATCTGTAATCTGCCCTCAAGCTAAGAACTTTCGCCACGGGCCTTTAGCTCCTCCGTAGGGCTGGGCAAAACTCCCGAACCGAACCCGACGGTTCTTCTCAAGTTAAATACCCGAATGGGTATTTGAATCGAGAACCGACGGGTATGGTTCGGTTGTCGGTTCTAGGCCAAGACCCGAAGAACCGAATCTCCCTAATTTTTTTAATTTATTTATTTTAAATAAGCAAAATTATTTTATTTTTTCTAAATAAATTTGTTAACTAGTTAATTTAGTTCAAACAAAAAAAATATGATTTTCCTATTTCTAATTTTCAGTTCAAAGTCAACTTAATCAAATTCACATCAATTTTATCCTAGTTTGTTACTCTACTGTAGTGTCGTTTTTATTGGAGAAAATCAAATTAAAGCTCTACAACGTCTCTCTTAATTATTTTGAACTCGCTATCTTTCTCTTCCTATGATTTATGAAGAACTCAACAAAGAGAGACGTAAATAACACATAAGATTAGATTACGTTATTTTGTAAGAGCTAAGATTGAACATATCATTAATTAAATTAATGTAACTTTGTATATATTAAAAAATTTAATTATAATATGGAATTTCAGAACCGAATGAAACCGAACCGAATGGAACCGAACCCGAACGGTTCCATAATTAAATTTGGACCCGACGGTTCCACTTATTAAATACCCGAAAATTTCAGGTTGATTCGGTTCTCGTTAGAATCGAAGCGAACCGGACTATGTTCAGCCCTACCCCTGCGTGAACGAAAGCGGGTCTCAAGACCACTGATAATCAATTCTAGAATACGGTCAAAGCCCCTCAGTGAACTATATATACACTGTCACGATCCCTTCATCCCCAGCCAATTCCTTAGTATAGTATAGAACACGACCAAGGCCACTCTGTGAACTAGAAGAAGTGCATAATCACGAATACTTTTCTGATCGATCTCAATATCACGTCTCACATACCAAACAAATCTCAATATCACATGTTTCGTATACCAAGTCACAAAATGTATAATAAATAATCCTTGAAATTTCACATGTATTATAATAAAAGAGATTTCCATAATAATCATATAACTAGAACACATAATTGCATATAATTGCACATACTTTAACAATATACTTAATTTATAAATACTTTAAAAATATTTATATTTTTCCACTCACAGTACTATGTTTGCAAAATCAATCCGGTTGGTAAGTTGTTCTAATGTCAGTATCATCGCCTTTCAAAATTGAGGAATTCAAGTCTAATAGTATAACCCACTTAATTCCTAACACGTTGGCGAATCTTCATTTTTTTCCTCTTTTTCCTTTTTTTTTCCTCTCTCTTTTCTCTTTTTTTCTTTTTCTCTGGTTTGTTTCCTTCGTGTGTGTAGTGTGTGTGTTTGTTTTTAATTTGATTTTGGGTGGAATTCCACCGCCTCACTTTATTCTTTTTCTCTCTTTTTTTTTTTAATTACAAAACTCACCCTCTTAAAAAATTTCGTCCTCGAAATTCGATTAGCTAAGAATTGCACATATAAATATGTAGAGCACATTTGATCATCACCTGCCATAATACTTCTTCTATGGCATGATTTCTCTAACGAACTTTTAGTCCCAAAATTTAATCTTTCTTATCATACTTTTAATAACTTCCTACGAGCCAATATATGATATTCTTATCTTTTTTTTTTTTCCAAAACCTTAGGAAAACTCAATTATTTTTCAAATTTGAAGTTCAAAATACTACTTTTCATGTTCTCTAAATCTTCACCTTACGTCCTAATTTAAACTATTCTTTAATCACATTCTTTTTCAATAACAATGGTTATATATTAAGATCGAAAAACATTCTTACGCCCATTTCGCCATACGTTCTTAGAATATTTCAATATTATATATAACATCAATTATAGTCACTTGTGTGTAGCTTGTATATGTCAATTCAGTGCAAAATAAATAATTATCCAAGTACCATTTTATTAACAAACTATAATTGATAGCCTCTCTTTTGAACTTATCTTCGTAGTGTTTGACATTCTATCAAAAGAAGATGCACAATGTAATTTAATTATATAACTTCTTACAACTAATCAAAGATAAATACTCTAATTCCACCATACAATTAACAATATTGTCTAAATATAATTTTATAAATCTATCCTATGAATTGACTATATCATTTAAAAAGAATCTTGTAACATTTATCAATCTATCTACAATGATTTAAATACTATTTTGTCTTCATTTCGTATATTTGGAATCCCCAAACAAAAATATTTGAGGGTAACTACCTCCATTCCAAATTGACAATATATCCAAAAATTCAATTATTCATGATTTTCTAAAATTCTAGTTATCCCCGATAAAACAATTGAGATTGCTCAATATAATGTTCTTTTCCTTTAATTCTATATCACCCAATAATAATATATACACAGTTTTCATATCCACCATTTCTAATAAAATATACCTTAAACTCTGATAATTGGTAAGTATTGATATTTCTCGCAATGTGATGACATAAGCCCAATGTAACCAACTCCAATTTATGTTTTACTTATGCCTCTTCAACAATTGATCATATAATTCATAATTCATCATTTTACTTCAAAACATGTCCTAAACCTTAACATAATCCATTATTATAAATCAAATCCTCATCAACTTTTAATACAAGAGTAAATGTTTCCTCAAAATTTAATCTGATAGCAACATTTTTTTTTTTACATCCTTAAATCCACACAATATTGGTGCTCTTTCTTTCTATGAAGAAACAATTATAACAATTAATCCATGATAATTTTTTACTCTTATTCCATAAAAAGCCATCAGCCTATCACCAATGCATAAGCTTTCTTTTATATTGCACAAAGACCTTCAATTAAGATTATAACCTAAAGATACCATTCCACAATTGGATAAAATTTAGATGATGATCGTCTTAAATTTCAAACTATCCAACATATCATCCATGTGTTCCATAATGTATAGATCTTCGAAAGAGTGGAATACTTTATTCATGATATTCAAAAATACAATCGAAAACAGCCCAAAAATTACATCACTAAAATTTTAATAAATTCATTTTAACTTCAAAATTTAACTCAAAACTTTCAAATTCAATGGAATATAACACAAAACTCCAACAAATGGCCTTAAAAAATTAATTAACTTAATAACCCAAATCTTTCATCACATTATTTTGTTATGGGACAGTCATTACATTCATTTAGATGCTATTGACCATTTCATATTGTAATCATATAACGTCATCACATACTCATGGCCATGCCATATGTCTTCCAACTTTTAGTTATATCAATTTTCCTTAAGATCACATAATAATAACCTTCATATTTATCATGTGAACATTTTCACACATCGCTTAACCACCAAGATTTCATATGTTAATTTTCCAATTTCAATAAATTCCAACTCTATCATTTTTTACTCCTTTTTGTTCTTCACATAATCATACCTGAATATATATATCCATTTTAATTCTAGTTCTTGAAAAATAAATTATTCCAAAATAAGTAATCATGATGAAGTATATCACTTTTTTTTTTCACATCCCTTATAATCAACAGCTCATAAATAATCACAATGATTGAAATTGCCCAAGATAATTAAATTTCCTCCTTGATTGTTACCATACCATTCCCTTTTATTTATCGTGCCAACTATATCAAATAATTCAACATATAAATTGATAATTAAGTGGTTATACCATCTATCACTTTGAATGCATACATAAACAACCTGTAAAATCATTAAAATCTGTTCAACTCTTAATAGGTTAAATACACCACAATTTCAATCCAACAACTAATAACACTTTCCACCCATCGGATCATTGCAACTATTATATTTACATACTAGTCTTTTCTGGATCTGTTAAAAATATCTTCTTATCATTTTTGGTTCCATACATTCGAGCTTGAGAGCCTGTGATTTCCGCCACCACGACATGTGACCATAAGCACTGAATATACAAGATATGCCAATGCATGAACTAACAAGACTTTCAAAACTTTATAAACTATGCTCTGATACCACTTTGACACGACCCGTCCCGAATCACCCTAGTGGACCCGAAACGTGATGTGCGCCAATGATATTGATATACTAAGGACCTGGTACTTATTCTCAATCCTCAGCAACCAGTCTCAAAATCCAATTTGGACAAAACTCATCCGGTCAATTATCCACAGTTATAAACTCGAGCAAAAACAATTAACATATTCACAAGCTATAAGTTGAAGCAAAAGCAGAGACAAAAACAATACCTTTTTCCCTCGGATGACAACCCCTGGCTCACCTTGAATTACCATGTATTTAGTACCACCAAGATACAAGCCAGTAGGAGCAAGTGAACCAGGATTTTCAAAGTCATTCATGATAGCAGTGATTTCCTCAGGCTTGAGCTACGCCAGCATTAATCAAAAAGAGAATAATTTTATTTCACAGATTAACATAGAGAAAAGATATCCCAGCAAAGAAATTTAGTGCATTGCGAAACAGGCTTGTGTTGTATTATTGATGCCATTCTACTTCTATAAAAAAAAAATAATAATAATAATAAAATAATTGCTATTCTTATCGGTTTCCATCCTTCTTGTGTTAATATATTCTGGTACGTGATGTCCACGATATCATAATATTTGCTTCTGTATCACACTACCTTAAATGGTTTATAAATAAATAAAAATACAAATCAATAAAGTGCTACCATAGTCAAACTAATATCTTTAAAGTACAAAAAAATAAACTAATAAAAAGCTGGATCAACCAAGTAAAAGGTCGTTCTATAAAAACTGAATTAGTCACTAATCAGTATCCGAAATCAGATAAATCCAGTTAAAATTAGGAATAAATTCAGTTAGTCAGGGTCAAAATCAGGAAAAGAGATACATAAACAACCTGTAAAATCATTAAAATCTGTTCAACTCTTAATAGGTTAAATACACCACAATTTCAATCCAACAACTAATAACACTTTCCACCCATCGGATCATTGCAACTATTATATTTACATACTAGTCTTTTCTGGATCTGTTAAAAATATCTTCTTATCATTTTTGGTTTCATACATTCGAGCTTGAGAGCCTGTGATTTCCGCCACCACGACATGTGACCATAAGCACTGAATATACAAGATATGCCAATGCATGAACTAACAAGACTTTCAAAACTTTATAAACTATGCTCTGATACCACTTTGACACGACCCGTCCCGAATCACCCTAGTGGACCCGAAACGTGATGTGCGCCAATGATAAATGCTAACTAGATGTCAAATCTACCACCAAGGCTGACTATGAGTTATTTCAAAAAAATGCAACAACATCAAATACTTATGTAAAATATAATGTGATGGATCCAAATTATTTACTTTGTATTTCATCAAAATGAGTTATAATATTCAACATGTTATGTGGCTCTCATTCTGATAGGCTCTTCTAGCTAAAAAAAATCAATTTCCACCTGTAAGAACATTACGGAAAAATATATGAGTTAATAGCTCAATGAGTGGAGAAATTCGAAAATAATTATATTTTTTCATTTTTACATTTTTATCGAAAATCGAGTTCATTTCATTAATAACTTCCAAGATAACATCATATAATTATAGTCAAAACGTTAGACATTCACATAATGTGGTAAAATATCATTTCAAGTCATGATATAAACATAATCTAATAATCATGTTATAATCTCATCACATCAAATGTACTGAAAAATTCACAAAAAATGTACCATCTGACTAAAATCTGTAACCCTCCCTTAGGCTAAAAACTTTCACCATGGGCCTTTGGCCCCTCCGTGAACGAAAGCGGATCTCAAGACCTCTGATAATTAATTCTAGAATACGGTCAAGGCCCCTCAGTGAACTATATATACATAGTCACGACCCCTTCATCTCCAGTCGACCCCTCAGTATAGTATTGAACACGACCAAGACCCCTCTGTGAACTAGAAGAAGTACATAATCACGAGTACTTTTCTGATCGATCTCAATATCACGTCTCACATACCAAACAAATCTCAATATCACATGTTTCATATACCAAGTCACAAATGTACAATAAATAATCCTTGAAATTCCACATGTATTATAATAAAAGAGATTTCCATAATAATCATGTAATTCGAACACATAATTGCATATAATTGCACATGCTTTAACAATATACTTAATTTATAAATACTTTAAAAATATTTGTATTTTTCCACTCACATGTAGTTGTAAAAAATTAGTCGTTAATAAGAAAAACCAACACATTTATCGAAAAATTAAACAGAAAGCTAGATCAAAATTATAAATGCTCAATCTAAAAACAAAATCAAGGTACAAGGTAAATTTAATAAAATACAAACAAATAACTGACGTAATTGATATATAAAATCAGATCAGATCACGTCATCAGCATTCTTACAATCAAGAATATATTAAGGCCCCGTTTGATTTCCTCAAAAAGTATTTTTCTCTTTTTCTGTTCAACCGCACATTATTGTTCGTTAAAATAATATTAGAGGTAAATCAAAAAATTTTCATCCACACATCCTTCATCAATCCACTATTCTAAAATTCTTTTTTCCTTGAAAATGAGTGTCAAACACCTCTAAGTGCCCAGAAGATCTGAAAATTGAATTGAAAGAAAAAATAAAAAAGTCATACGATAATTAAAAAGAGCAAAAAAGAAATGAAAGACCTGAGGGAAGGTGGTGCTCTGAGCCCAGACGGTGCCGTCATGGCCGAGGATAGCGGCGGCGGCAAGAGTTTGCATGACTACTCTTAAAGATTCATTTTTTAACATAAAACTTCAAGTCTTAATACATGTGCTTGACATTAATTGTTACTATGGCGAAGAAAAGCTGACTTTGGGACCCTTTCGACCATTCTCGAGTTAACTCTTCTTTAAATCATATCGACCGTTCATGCTAAGTCGTTACTTATTTCATAGAGACAGAAGATTCTGGTCATTTTAAAACTATAGCCTATGTATTATTGTCCTCTCCCAGTCCTTTTTGCTTCTAATATTTGATTTCTATCTTCTTATTCCTGATTCAGTCTCTATTCCTTAGAAATTACGATGAAGGCCTCAACTCCATGTAGAATATTAGCTTTATTACATGCATGCTTAGAAAGAAGGCCGAATGTGACTGACGAATTTACATGGTGAATTGAGATATTCTTGGTTATTACTATATGGAGCGTAATTAGCATAAAAATGTTAAACAAGAATTTTCCTTTTATGTCGCAATTCTTTAGCTATATGTGCATATGAATAAGACTTGACTCGACCTGAAGAGTTTGACACTTGCACAAGAAAAAATACACGAGTGAAGTTATGCACGGTTTAATTGTTTCTTGTTTTCTCTTGCATTTTGATATTCAATAATATATTGTTTGAGTTGTTTCACATAAAACTATATTGTAAATTCATAATACTAAGCATTTATTAACCCAACCACTACTATCTAACCAATTACCATTGAACTGATCAACAATCAAATGAGTCTGAATCCAAACAGTGAATGAATGAGTCACGGGTTTGTAAAGAGCAAAGGACTTCAAAAAATACTATCTGAAATTAAATAGGAGCCTTAGCTAGTTTGAGCTGGAAGAGAGTCAAAGAACTCAAAAGAAAAGGAAGAAGCATAATAGACATCAACCGGTAGCAGTGCAGAAATAGGAGAGCCACCAGTTTATACGTCGACGGTTAACTTTAGGGTAATTTTAGAAGTCACAAAAATTCAAGTTTGCTCTATTCTTTTTTGTTAGAAAAACCCCACTTTAAATCTTGTAGTAGCCGAGATTTTCTTTTCATGTTTGGGTACACTGTCTTTATCTTCTGGTACTGAAAATGGCATCCTATGTGCTTCTCTCAGAGTCTCATGCGGTAAATTTTCATTTTGTGGCACATATAACCCATGTTTTGTTTGTGTTATATACTAGTTTGAGTCGGGGTCCGGAAACTAGTATATAAAGAAAAATAAGGCAAATTATTTTTTGGCACGTATTTAATATTTAACAAATAATAGTTTATGTAATTTTTTAACAGTTATTGTGAATTACACTTTGTTGTGATTATTATACAATGATTGCAATTCAAAGTGTGTTACTATGTGTTAAATCCTTCAGCAATGTATGTAAATTTTAGAAATTGTAATTTACACTTAATGTTTTATCCAACTAGTTTTCATTTTGGCTCGGTGAAACTAGATAGAATAAAACTGTAATCATTGATACATTTTTAATTATTATTTATATTTATTTGCACATTAGATGTCAAATGTTACATGCAAATTCTTCAATTAAATTTCTAGCCTGTATTAATAATTTAATACACATTGCTTTCCATCGTTATGGTAAAAAGTCTTTATTGATGTCACTTTGTTAAGTAACCTAAGGTTGCTAGATCATACATATGATTTAACATAAAACATTTGATATTTTTGAACAATGGGTCACATTTAACTAAAGTTTCATTTTTTGTTGAGTAACTCAAGGAAATAAAATTTTGGGAGCACAATCAACTAAACATATAATATGTTTGTAACAAAAATAAAAAGTCTCTACTTGATGATATATAAATTACATGGAGATTTATTAGGGCTAATTAAGTAACTCAACATTCTAATAAAATTAAGAGATCGTATCGCAGTGCTAATTCATTCCTTGTTTCATCTCACTTCTTAAAAATTCAAATTCCTTTTCAATCACAAATTTCATGATATCCACAACTTTTATCAAGTTAAATAGTGAGAGTAAAACAATTTAATTAAAGAACACATATAATAATACATTTGACTATTGTTGTCTATCATTATGTTTTTGTTGTGAGCTATAATTGATTAATCAAAATAACTTGCATATGCTAACAAGGTTACTGGACTAAACTCCTTGGATTAGCATCATTATTTGAGAATTGTTCTCAAACACGAGATAGTTCTAGACAAGGAAAATTTGGACGCGCCAATAGAATGATACTGAAAGAAGAGCCGTGAGGCTTTCATAATCATGCTGAAATGTAAGAAGCTTGGTGAATCTTCTACTTATGACTATTATTTGATATATATTAACTTGTCTACTTCTTTAGCCACATAGGTATTAGGTACAAAATATGAATTTCAAATCTATAAAGAGAATTGATCTATTCATACACTTCTTGTCTACATAACAGATTACACTCCACTCACATTGCGACCTCTTCATGTGAGCTGGGTGTAATCCATTATGTATACAAGAAGTGTACATGTAGCATCACTCTTATATAGATATGCATGCTAGAAGTATAGCAATACAAAATTAAGTAATAGACTTGCACGTAGAAAATGAAGCAATATTTGCCCCATCAATGGTAGGAACCTATTAGTCACCTTTGTCTCGTTATTTAGTTTTAGGATGGAAGGTCTTTAATTGTGTCCAGTTCTTTTGAAGAACAATAATTCTACTACTTGTTTGATTAGGAAAGACTCGTCGATTGAGATTAAGAATAATTATTAGCCATTATTTAAGAAATAAACTATAGAAATGAAATATTTATAATAGAATCGACATTCTAAATTAATTCCATTTCGGGCATAAAATACAAGGCTCGTAAAACAAATCTCACTTATATATGACTTTCTAGATTTGGTTATGTGAATGTACAAGAAACACATTACACATACTAAAGTTATATAGCAATCTATATTTAGACTCATATGATTATGAATTGTACAAGGTATGGATATCTTGCCTGCCAGGGTAAGATGATCAAGTCACATTTTACTACAAAAGAAAAAATGGATCATCAATCCACTAAGCCTCATACATTTGGATGTGAATAGACTTATGTTATTAGAGTCAAATATGGTCTTTCTTATTTCATAGATGGTTTATAAGTGTGATTTACACGCTTATATAGACTTGTAAATCTACTTAATATTTTGTTATTTTGAGGAGTTTCTACTTATATTAGTTCATATATTATTAATTTTTACGTAAAGATCCCAACTTCAAATCCTAGATCTTCTATGCTTATTGTAATATTTTGTAATGCTATGGTTTTGTTTTGAATTCTTATTTATCCGCATCCATCATAAAGACATAGTTGGTCGTAGGTAAAAATTGGATTAATTTATCTCGAGAAAAAAGTTAACACATAAGGAATATCGATTGTCAACATAAAACAAGAATTGATTGATATCAAGTAATTGGGGATTGAAGTAGGTTAGGAGCGGTGAATTTGAGATTCTAGCACCTTCCTTCCTTCATTGATTGTTTATTTTATTAGATAGTTGATATAGTTAAATTATTTATTTATTATTTATTTTCTTTATGGCATTAGAGCTAGTTTAATTAAAGTAAAATAGGCAGATAATTAGTTCTCGTGGATTCAATATTTTACTCATAATTTTACTACATTTTAACTATCCATCCAGTTGCGAGATAAAATCAACAACAATGATCATAATAATTATAGTTCTGCTACACAGTAAATCGTGTCATCCAAACTGTTGATGAAATTCCATATGTGATATAAAAGAGAATGGTTCAATTTTTCTCGCATTAAGATTTGAGACCATGATGCTTATGAGAATCTACAGATTTATTGTAATTCTATGCCATTTGTTTCAGTCTAGCATTCCACAACATAACAATTCGAAGGAGTGACTTCATTTTTGAAACTCATTAAAGAGTTTCTTCCACTGGGGAAAGTAGTCCTCACTCTGAGCTGGCGACCAGTTGCTCCCAAGAAGCAGACCTAGACTTTGGCAACAATCCCCCCTTCACAAAAATGAAAACATTCATGAAAAGCCACAAGTATGAAACATTCATAAACTATCAGTTATACTCCAATTCTTTCAAGCAAAGGAGGAGTAATATATAGATATTTATGTGTGTCTATATATAAATTAATTTCATCTGGTAAAGATTAATGAAACAAACTATACAAATTACTATAAGAAGAAAATAATTTATAATAACCGTTAACATGAAACAATAATCATAATTTTGAAAATCCCGTTGCTTTTGGGGTCTTATTTTCTTTGAGAAAAAGCAGCTTTTCTTGGTTTCTTTCTTTCCCCTTTGTTGCCTATCCTTTTGTCTTCTTTTCTTTCTTGTTTTTCTGACTGGGATAGTTGCACAGTTAGCTCAGTTGAGCTTGCAACTTTAGCCAGGCATTGACAGGAAAATTAGATGGAAAAAGGTAAAACTAGGTGTATATATGGTCCATTAGCACTTGTAGAAATCTTCGAGTACTGATGATTTTGACTGTGGGGAATTTTTTGCATCCTATCTTCTATGTTTTGCGTCTACCGATGATGATCTGGGTTGTCAGGGTCATGCCAGAATGTGGAGTACTTCAACCATTCTGCTTCTTGTGGATTTGTAATGGATGACTCCTGCAATAACAATATTAACATGTGCACCAAGGGTTAGAGTTGTCCAATAGAAATTTTAAATATATAAAATTTTCAATTTCCAAAAAGTTTAAGCATTCAAATTAGACGATTCAATATGATATCATATAAGATAAAAGTTGATTACTAGTTTCATCGTCATGCTCATTTTGATATACTATTTGAGTGAAGATCTCGATGGAAAAATTATGTGGTATGCACTCAAGACGTATTGAAGAAGACATTAAATAAAATGACCAAGGTAATTTGACTATCTTTCTTTCATGTTTATATTTCTAATTCAACTTATTTTCATTGATGAGTTTCTTTTTGCATTTAAATTGTAATTAATAGCCAAATGGCATTATTGGATATAACTTTTCTTGGTCTTTATCATATTTTTTTGTATTAGTAATTAGATTAATGCACTTATTATTAATATTTCTACTTAATAGCTTGATTTCTTAACTTTAGTTTTTCAAAAGTAGAAGAAAGGAGGAATGTGGTTGCAGCTTTCGCAATTGATGGCACAAAAAGAAAAAAATAAAAGGAAAGAAGAGAATATGGAGAGGAAAAACGAGCAAGCATCTTGTTCCTTTGCGTCATGTGGCATATTTGGTCTGATAGATTAAATAGTAATTTAAATATTTGTATTGTCTTGCACAATCAATCTTGTGCTCCATTCCAAGCATACCATTTCGTTCTTAAAAGTTGGCCTAAATGCAGTAGGCGCCCCTATATATATACAGAAACATCTGCAAAACTTACTATATTGATCGAGCAAGCAAGGAAACTTATTTCATTAACTTTTTCACAGTTAAGATATACATTTAAACTTAATTGGAAAGAAAAAGGATATAAAGGAAAAGGCTTCTAATTGCTCTTTTTAATTGTTTATTCCAATCTGTCTCTTTAATTAAATATAAACTAGACTAATGATAATGTAAATCTTTCTTTTATGTTTATTATGAAGATTTTGGAAAAAGATTCTTGATTTCATGCATTATCCTTATCAATCAGTCATTACCTTTACTTTTCTACGACTCAGACGAAAATTTTACACGAAAGAGTATTTTGTTTCTGGATTACAAAGTTCATACTTACTTCCTTGATATGATCAGATGAAGTGCAGCCCATAACGACTTCCTCCAATCCTGATGCAGATCTTCTTTCGAGTTTATGATGTTGCTGCTGAAAAAATGTAATCATTTAGAACAAAACAAAACATAATCATCTATAAGATTATATATTGTCTGAAAAAGACATCAAGTATAAAGGGAAATATAATTACTTGTTCACAATTTAGAAGACATAAAATCATCACTAAATCATTTGGTTTAATCATACATTAGAGCATATTTTAGTACGCATTGCCATAACAGTGTAATGCACAATTTTATGTTATTTTTCTTTTATGATAATGTCCAGTCCTTCCTACCAAATTCTACTATGATCTCAGGCGCAATCAATAAACTAAGAATAGGGATCGTTCATTTAAAACATGTTTGGCTTTGCTTTAAAAAAAAAAAAAAGGCCAATTTTTTGCCCATTTTCGACGGTATGGAAGGTCATACTTACGAAAGTAGACAAGAATCATCTAGGAAAAGCCAAACACGCTAAAATTGACTATGTTCACACAAACAAAACCTCATTCGAAATAGAATTAAAGTCAACCTCATTTGTCAAATGTGGACCTCGTATGAACCAAGTCAATAACCGGATCAAGAATCAATACATAATGCTAAATCTAATCTTAGAATTTGTTTCCAAAGGTTCAAGTAAACATTGGGATTAATTACCTGGAAATTTTGATTATGGAGAATCATTCTAGGGACATGGAAGGAGTCCTCATCAAGAATGATAGAGGCGTGATGATAAAGAGGTGGTGGAGAAATTATGGTAGATATAGAGAGAGGACTGCTGGTTTGGAATGTTGTGGTTGCAATCTGGTGTTGCTGAGCCTCATGGGTCACGTGAGGTGGTGGCATTTGATGCTCATCGCACGTGCCTGGTGCTGAAACTTCCCTTGCAGTTGAAGTTTCCCCAATACCAGCCTGCAAAAAATTAATAATCCATCAACAGTTTGCTAGCTGGCTAGTCCCTTGTCAAGGCTCTTTTTAATATTCTGCGCCTTTTTCTTTTAATCTTTTCTTTTCTTTTTTATGTTCATTCCGATTTTGTTCAGTATTGCTTTACTAATTTTCTCTTCTCTGGTGGGTGAACTGCTTAGTTTAAAGTAGATGAGTGTTGTTATCAAGCAAATCTGATATCATTTTCAAGCTTTATGTACAAGCATCCAAATGTGAAAAGCAAATTTTCTTCTGATTTTTGTATTGCATGCATGCATAACTTGCTTAGAATTCTAAGTCAATTGGTTATAATTTTTTTTTATACTCAACTACATGGAATATAACATATTAGACATATACTGTACAGCAGAAAGAATGGACACTTCAATTTTGGAAAATATTGAATACAGAAACAAAATTCACTATTTAGAGAGAGAGAGAGAGAGATCGGAAAAATAATTAATGATGATAAACTTTACTTAAAATATAGATTTGTTTGTATCGCAAAACGTCCAAGATAGTAATTTTTTTGAATGTTATAAAATTGTTTTATGTTATGGTAATAAGAATTTTGAGCAAGATGTGTGAGAAATTAATAGCAGTTTAAATAGATGATCAACATATATGCTAAAAAAAATACCTCATCAAAGGGTTTTCTAAATGGAAGGAAGCTGAAATAGTCACCATAGCTAGACATAGGAGAGCTGCCGGCGACACTGCCACCACCACCACCACCGTGGCTACTCCGAAATTCATCTGTAGGAGGGATTATTTCCTTAGACGAGAGGATACCAGTACTGCCAGTATCTCTATTTGGATCACTGCTCGTTGCTAATTCGACGGCATTATTCGTGCTATTCTTTTCCAACAAATTGCACTGCCTTGGTTGAGTCTGATAAAATATCTTGGAAACCACAAGTTCACCTTCTTTTTCTTCTTCATTTTGGCCTATGTGGTATTGATGCATTACCCAATTTGTTTTTTCAGGTTTTCTATTTTTCCCAAAATTTGTATATAAAACCAAAATTTTCTTGCATCCCTTTTGCTTTCCGTTAACCATGACTGGCCTGGTTTTGCCTGTCTTGTGCCATCGGGTTTCTCCACCCTGCAAGTCGCATTCGGTTTGAATTTTTCGCCTTTTTCTCGTACCGGTGGTGTAAGCCTTTGATGGTCTGTGGAAGAAATGCCGACTTAATCCATCCCTTGTTACTCCTGAAAGAACAATGTACAAAATTAATTAGTATTTTCTTCCACTTCATTGATTGGCTCAGTATACATTTCTCTTGCTTCCAAATCGAAGCGCACTAGAGGAGTATCTAGACATTTGTAGCCAATTTCCAAAAAAGGAACCCGACGACGCTTCGTGCACGAATTTTATTGAAAGTTAAACCAAGGATGGAGAAATTTTAAAGTTAGGTTTACTTAGGTGCAACAAACTATGAGAATTTGATTAAATTTCTTGAAATAGCAGGAAAAACAAGTGATAATAAATCAAACCCTAGAATCCTTGTATCTTTCAAGCATGAAAGTGTATAACCTAACTCCTTGAATTAAGGAAATGCAACACACACAGTACACACTGTGAGAGTGTATTTCTTATACCTGGAAGCTTTTCTGGGTGAGTATAGCAAATCCCATCATCACCTTCAATTGTAGGGATGAACTCATCAATCAATGGATGAGATTTTGATTCTTTGTTATCTACTTTTGCTTCAAGGTGTTCTATCAATTCTTGGTCTGTTGGATCAAATTTTACTCCAGCTGGTAGACCTACCCAATCCTGCAAATGAACAAAATTAACTTAATAAAATCCAAAAAAGGAAAATAAAATTTAAAGCATTTTTAATGAGTCATTAAAAAAAGTTATACTGGTTTCCCTTCGAGCTTTTGTCCGCAACCTGGACACTGCTTGGATCCACATAATTGATGATCCTCAAGCTTCGAATCAATGAGATCAGAACTGCTGATGGATCCCAACTGAGTCTTATTCATGGCTCTTCAAACGTATCAATTTACAGTTTATATGTACTATCAACTTGGATTACAAACTTTCATAAGAAAACTTAACTTGGACGAAATCTTCTTGTGTTGTATGAATTGAAGTCTCTACAGTTGACATATATAACATATATTATTTGGACTGAATGAACAAAGAAAACAATAATTCGTACGTATATAAGCAGAAATTCTTGAAATTAAACACAAAACTGAATAAGTAAAACCACAATATCAAAGTTTTGATTAAAGAAAAACCCAAAACAAAGATGGTATTTAAAAAAAAAAAAATAAATAAATGACAGTGAACCCACAAGATATCAAGACTGGAAATTCAAATATTTTCAAAGAAACTAAATTAAACTGGTGAGGGCTTGAGAGAGAGAGAGAGAGGGGAAAAAAGGGGAAACTGTGACGGTGGAAGAGAGCTATAAAACCTGCTTTAGCTATGAACACACAGCAGAATTCTCTCTACACTTTAACGGAAGCCAGTGAGATAAAGAAAAAGGCGTCACATACGCTATATACCGCCTTTAACTCTTTCCTAATTTAAGAACACTACATACACGGTTTCTCTCTCTATCTCTAAAGAGAGATAGAGATACTTATATAGATATATATAAAGAGGGATTGGATTTTGGTAAAGCTTAGGGCAGCCACGCCTTTGTTTTGAGTCTCCTTGACCGGTAAAGCAAAAGCTAGGAAGCAGCCTCTTCACCTGTTACTGTTTCATATACTTAAATAATTCAAGCATATAAATCTAATACATAACTATATTCATATGATCATTTTTTCAGTAAAAAGTTCACATGAATTTCAATAAAGCTATATGTTTAAATTTGGGCACAAGATAAGAGGTTAATATATATGTATCTTCTTGACTAAAATATAAACTTAGAAATTAATACTTAATTGCTTGATATAAGTAGATTTATTTGCTGATCATAGAAACATAAACAAGAAAAGCTATTTTTTAACAATTTAATTTGCTACTTTAACATTGTATGAGAAAATTACATTAAATAGTATGAGAAATGGTAAAGATCACGCGTTAAGTTTCAACATGTAATTTGGTACTTTGAAGATGTATATATCTAAATAATATTTTTACATTTTATTTTCTAATATTATAGTCCCTTCGACAAAGTCATTGAGTCTAAACGCGTTGATGCGAGGAGGAAAAAAGGGAGAGAGAGAGAGAGAGAGAGAGAGAGAGAGAGAGAGAGAGAGAGAGAGAGTTTTACATTTTATTTTTTAATATTATAGTCCCTTCGACAAAGTCATTGAGTCTAAACGCGTTGATGCGAGGAGGAAAAAAGGAAGAGAGAGAGAGAGAGATTTTATAATTGAAAATAGAAAAACCAACTCCTTCCCCACTTCCATCCCTATAATTTTTTTAGACAAAATATAGAACTCACATGAGTATTGAGGTGTAGGACTGATGATGACAAAAAGAGGAGGGGAAAGGTGGGGTGGGGGACAATGTTGCTTGATATGCAAGGCAAATTAGCCGTATACTTGATGGACAACCAACCACCATCTATTCTATTTTAAATCCAATAATTTCCCATATAAATGTTAAACAAAGGATTCAATACCAAAAACTCAATAAAATAAATCTTGTAAGAATTCAGATGGGTTTGTTACTTTGTTTATAGACATAGGGTCAGTCTGGTTTCTACGTGCATGGTCTTTATTTCTAATTGTGTATTTTGCTAATTTTCTGTTGAAAACCGCAGAGATGTTAATGATTCCAAGATATTTTATTAGATAAATCTATATGTACAGAATAACTTCTTATATAATGTTGTAGAATAGTCTCATGATGTGGGACCCACCATGAAAAAATTGCCAAAAAAAACCCTACTCACCCCACTATGTGTGTATTCTGACAGCATTTTGTGAAAGCTTCTTTTGTACATCAAGCATGACTCAATTTTATTTTATGTACTTCGTAGTACTAGCATAGAGAGCGGGGTAGCTCTTTTATTGTTTATATGTAAAAAAAGTTATGAATTACTTTTTTCTATGTATTAGCTCAATACAAAAGAAAAACAAAAACAAAAAAGGAAAAAAAATAAGAAAGAAAGAGAAATTGTCCTCCTTAAGCTAGCTCCGTCTCTACTTCGTGGAACAAATATCAAAAGAAAATGAGATATATATTAGACCCCACCATGTACACAAAAATCTCATATGTGGGCCCGGTTTGACTCCAGCTAAAAAAAATGAAGAATTTTCCCGTCAAGAGATGGAGAGTAAATCGTACGAGTTAATGACAATTATACCCCACTCGCCTCAATCATATTTTAGTCATAATACATTGATTGTAATGTTTCTCTGTCTCATAATTACATTAAGCCCTTGTTTGAGCCTATTTTTGACAAAAAATGCATTTTTGAATAGTGTGTTGATGGGAAATGTGTGGTTAAAAAATAAAATAAAAAGATTTGAATTTGCGTGTAATACTATTTTAATTAAGAACGTATGATTGAAATGGGATCAAATTACTGTTGAAAAATGTATTTTGATGAAAATAATGGGACTAAATAGATTTTGTAAACTAATATAAACTATTAACAGGTGCTTATGCATGATGTTTATAAGATTATTTGGTATTGGAAGAAATATATGTTTGAGGATATAGACTGCTCATCGAGAAATAATCTACTTATGAGTTTTCATTAAAATTAACTTACACGCTTTAAACACTACATTATAAAAAATTAACAATTGATGAGAATTTTAATAAATATTAAATGTCTTTTTAAAATTATATATTTCATTTACAGAAATAAAATTGTTGTAATATTTTCACATCATTACATATCCCATTTGTTTCCATAAATAAAATTTCCACTTTCCAACCTAGTCAATAACATCGGATAATTATTTAATATTGATTCAATTAGAATAGTATTATAGTAGAAAACTTAGAACATGCTGTCGTTAATTGTAAAAATGTTAAATTTTCGAGAGAGGGAGAGAGAGAGTTTGCATGTAATTTTCTACAAAGCAGATGACCAAAACCATTAAACTTGTAAGAAAAAATATTTAGATATAAAATTTAATAGCACCATTAATTTTAAAAAAGATACGCCACATCTAACATGGGCAATATTCGGTTCCTATTTGGTGTGGGTTAAAATATGATAAAAATTTAAATCGAAGTCAATAAGGGGATTAAAATTAGAATTTTTAGCAGATTGTAATAGAAATTTTTGAAATGTATAGTTGAAAAGTTGTTGGATTCATGAAAGGTCTGGCTGTCGAGATCCTCCTACCGTCCCCGCTATGATTAATATTGAGTGTTTGACTTTAACTTAGATTAAAATTAGATTTTAATTCGTATCAAACTAGCTCTAAATTTTACTGCACATATTATGGCATTAAAACTTTTATCAACTTTTAAATCATATATTTTGTCAATTTTTATTAATATTTACTAAAATTCTACTTTTTAGAGCTTAGATTTCTCTTGTATTAATCCAAAGAAGAATCAGAAAATAAATAAGAATAGGAGACTAAGAGCCTGTTTGGGAGTGATTTTGAGAATTGATTTTTTGACCGTACGTTAGGAGAAAAGTGTGGTCCATCTATAAGAGAAGAAGTCAAATATGACGGCTGTAATAGTAAAATAACGATAAAAAAATTAATTTTTTGGAGGGAAAAATCACTCCCAAACGGGCTCTAATATATTTATTGAATTGAATGTTGACTAATCAAGTAATGGAGCCCACTTTTTTCAAAATTGATCAACACATCACACATGGTCCAATAATCATCTTGGCATTCCGTGCGTGGAAACAAATATTTGATCAATTGATTGTTTGTGTTGTACCAACCAGCGACATCGAGATACACGCTATCATTTTTAAGCATTAACAACTTTAAATTTTACCTATTATAAATAAATACTCCAATTTTGATTGATTTTCAGTTAGACGTTATTATTATTATTAAATTTAATAAATTTAACACATGCATAAAGTGCCTTAGACAAATAGATTCGAAAGACAAAGAGTCCCTGAAGAAAGGAAAATGGAGTAAATAATTACAGATTATTAGAGGAAAGAATGGAATCGGGAATAAATATTTGTCGACATGTTTTTGTAGCGCTCAATTTTATTGATGATAGCTACGATATTGAAGCAAAATTCGTCAAGGAATAAAATGTAAAAATTATTGGCTGAAAACAAAAAGAATATTTGTAAGCAAAATTAAAATTTTCAGAGTAAAGCAAAGTGTGTGTGTCTATATATATATATATAATGGACGTCATTATACTTTGATGTTTGACTAATTTATATATCAGAACTCTTGAAGAGCTCGACAAAATTGTAGATTATTTGAAAAATGAATTTGAAAATAGCGATTTGAGAAAATTAAAGTTTGTTTTGGATTGCATATTGAACATTTTCTAGAACTATTTGTTCATCAATCCCTTTATATATATAGAAAATTTTAAAATTGTTTTTGTATGTATAAAACATATCCAATGACATTACATATAGTTATTTGATCACTTAATGTGAAAAAGATCAATTTCGCTCACTTGAAGATTGATAATAATTCGTACTCCTAACGTGCCTAATCTTAGTACAATTAGGTATTAACTTATCTAGTAAATTGCACTTGATCGGAGATTTAATTTTTTTAAATATTCTTGCAAAATATAGCTTTGTACCAACTTAAAGACATTGGAGTGCTATTAAGCATATTTTTTGTTACTTAAAAGATACCATTGATATGTGATTATTTTATTTACAAAAATTGAGATAATCTTTAGTGAGATGTGTAGGTGAAGGTTATCTCTTATATCCACATAAATTAGATTGTAAATAAAAATATGATTTTACAAATAGAGAAATAGCTATACCGTGACATTTGTAAAGCAAATCTTGACAATAATATTTTCAAATATTCCAAAATTATTGCAATTCATAAAGTAGACTATGAATGTGTATAGTTAAAGAATATGATACATCATATCCAAGCATTATTCGGAATAACTTCAACAAAAGATAGTACTATCATATTGTATGAAGATAATGCAAATGTATTGCACAACTCAAAAATGTTATATTAAAGGTTATAAGTGAAAACATATTTCTCCAAAATTCTTATATAGATGTGTGTGTGCGCGCGCGCGCCGATTTAAAGATCTTTAGTGATCAACAATGGAGGAATAGTTGTATTATATTTCCTTCGTTTGGTTTTTGTCTCAATGGATTTCCTAACAATGTTATAAATGAGGCAACGGTTGTTTTAAATACTCCAAAACTCTTACAAATAAATGTAC